ACCTCCAGTCGGACCAGCGTAGGGAGAAGGAGCAGGCAAAGGGGAGGCAGGCTGTAGCTGTGACTGGGACTGGACAGGCTGTGGACCCTCTAAGGGAGGAGGAGGAGGACCAGGAGAAGGTGTAAGACCAAGAACCTGCTGCAGGAGCGGAACGAAGTACGGTCGGGGCCGCGTGGCGACGCCAGAAACAGCAGGGACAGCACCAGTACCCCCTGCAGGAGTACTCGCTCCAGCAGCACCTCCAGCAGCATCTCCAGCATCACCTCCAGTAGCTCCAGCACCCTCAGCAGCACCAGGAGCACTGCCAGCCGAGCCGCCAGTAGTAGTCTCAGCGTCAACAGTCTCAGCAGCACCAGCTCCAGTCGAACCCGCAGGTCCAGCAGCTCCAGTACTCCCAGCACGAGCACCTCCGGGACCCGCGGCAGCAGCACCCTCAGTAGTCGAAGAACCTCCAGCACCAGCAGCACGCCTCCAGCGACGGGCAAACCACTCACGCAGCTCCTGTGGGGAGAGTGGCTCTCGGCGAGACGAAGCACCTCCAGGCGGAGAACCTCCAGGCTCAGCACCCTCAGGAAGAGCACCCCCAGGCTCAGCACCCCCAGGCTCAGTACCCCCAGGCTCAGCACCCCCAGACTCAGCACCCCTAGGCTCAGCACCCCCAGGCTCAGCACCCCCAGGCCCAGCACCCCCAGACTCAGCACCCCCAGGCTCAGCACCTCCAGACTCCGCACCCCCAGGCTCAGCACCCCCAGGCGTAGCACCTCCAGTCCCAGCACCCCCAGGCTCAGCTCCCGCAGCAGTACCAGAGTCACCAGCGACCTCGACAGGCTCGACCGCGTCTACCTGAGACACACGTGAAGGAGCAGGACCCTGAGGGGGGAAGGGGTCTACCGGGGGGGACCTAGTACCAAGAAGAGCGGGGGCGGGGGGAGGGACGGAGTGCGGTAGGGGAAGAGGCGGTAGTAGGGTACCGACTCGTCGAACATGACGTCTTGGGAGGACAGAACACGTCGAGAGGTGGGGTGGTAGAACTGCCACCCAGGGGCGTCGGGGGGGAACCCCAGGAAGACGCAGGGAGCAGCGCGAGGGGACAGCTTGTCCGCAGACAAGTCGCGGACAAACGCCCGAGATCCCTAGACCCGGAACGCCGACGCATCGCCAACCTTCCGTGTCCACAGCAAGGCTGGGGAGGTCTCCGGCCTGGAGACCCTGGGGTGGAGGTTGATCTGATGCGCCGCGTACCTGACCGCAAACGGCCACAGAAAATGGGGGGCAGCCACATGCATCATAGACGTACGAGCGACGTCCATGACCATGCCAATGCGGCGCTCTGCAATCCCATTTTGCTGCGGTGAGTCCGGAAGCGTGAAGGTCTGGCGGATGCCTCGCGCACGACAGAAGGCACGCAGAAGGCCAGAGGAGAACTCTCCGCCTCTGTCCGAGTGCAGACGCAGAACAAGAAAGTCCGAGCCAAAGCTCTGCCTGAGCTGGAGACGAGCTGCGCGGATCCAGTCGATCAGCACCTCAGTGACATCACCCTTGCTGCGCAAGGGGAAGACTGTGGTGTAACGCGAGTAGTCGTCAACCACCAATAGGAAGTAGCGCTCGTGACCGAGTCCACGGACGCGGGCAGGGCCCCACACGTCCATATGAAGCGTCTGCAACGGAGCCTCTGTCGGAGGAAACTGGGAGGAGTGAGGGGCAGCACGCTGGCGCCCCTCGACACAGGGGACACAGGCAGGGCCAGGGCCCGGAGGAAGGGGAGGGAGGGACTGGGGGAGACCAGACACAAGAAGACGGGAGGCCATGCCTCTGAGCCGAAGCAGAGAGGGGTGGCCAAGGCGGTGGTGCCAGAGGAGAGTCTCGTGAGACAGACGGCGACACGAACAGGGGGCAGACTCAGGACCAGACCTGGACGCTGCAGCAAACACCTGACCCGACGAAGGGACTCTGCCAGACGCAGGAACCGGGGGAGAAGCAGTGGTCAGTGTGTACAGGCTCGACCCTGGCTGACGTGTAAACGTAGCCAGGTGGCGACCTGTGCTAGCCTCTGTGCAGTGTGTCACCCGCTGACGAGCAGGAGTGAACTGGTGGACACCCGCATCCTGTAGGTCAGCACCACTCACCAGGTTCGTAGAGAACGAGGGGAGGTAAAGACCAGTCAGGGTGCCAGAGGGAGCCGCCGGACACGGGAGGACTGTGGAGAAACGAGACAGGACAGGACCCCTAGAGGGGTCAGCCAGGGACACCGCAACAGGCCGACTAAGCGGCGTGAGAGTGGTGCGGTCCCGAAAGAAGGAGCGAGACGCCCCAGAGTCAAGGGTGAAGGTGTGGGAGGGAGAAGCTGACACAGTACCTGAGAGGGCAGACTCACTAGGACCTGAGAGCACAGACGCACTGGCACCTAGAGCAGCAGCCTCACTGGCACCTGACACAGCAGTACTTATGCCCGGGTCAGGCGGAAAGCACCGGTAACAGTCACCCTCATCACTAACAGTCACAGCATACATGGCAGCAAGGATAGCATCAAAGTCAAGATCAAACACAGCTACACCAGCCCTAGACAGCTCTCCCCAGCGGGGGATCTCAGAGGCCTCCGGAAACTGCTGGCGCCAAGCGTCGGTCAGGCGGGCAAAGCAGCGGCGAGCGGTGTGGGTGCCCCCACACTGCTCACCCGCGCGATCGCCGGTGCGAAGGACGTAGGTGCAGGGACCGAACGCCCCACCACGCTGACGCTGCGAGTACCACTCACGGAGCTGCTGGGGGCCGGGGACGTCGCGAGAGCGCTGCTGCTGCTGGCGCTGACCAAGCCCAGTGCCGCTCCTCTGGGACGAGCCACTCCGACCACCGCCACCACCGCCGCCACCGCCGCCTCCGCCGCCACTGCCGCCCTCGCCCCCACCGCTCCCACTGCCTCCACCGCCACCACCTCCGCCGCCACCTCCGCCTCCACCGCCGCCACCAGTACCCCCACCCCCGCCTCCACTCCCACCGCCACCCGCACTCCCCCCGCCGCCCCCACCTCCTCCGCCACCGCTCCCGCTAGCTCCACCCGCTCCCTTGCCCCCCTTGCTCCTGCCAGAGCGGCGCCTACCGCTGGGGGCAGACGCCGCACCGACCGACTCTAAACCAACGAGGTCGGCCGCAGCAGCAGAGGCGACAGAGGGTAACAGGGGGGAAGGAGAACACCCCTCAAAGATGGGGGTGCGCGGGTCACAACGAGAGGCCCCTACATCGAATATGCTCTTCTCGGCCGCTAGCAGGGACTTCTCAAGGAGGTCGACAGTGAGAGTGGTGGGACAGACAGAGAGAAACTGGTCCCTAACAGCACGAAGGGACTCAGGAAGACGGGTGACTAGAAAGTAGAGAGTGATGTACATGGGAGGGGGGTTTTCGGCGAGGAAGGCAGCAGGAAGCGCAGCTCGGTAGCGAGTGTCACTAGCGCGAAGGTGGGTAAAGAGGTCAGTGACTGTGGGAAAGGCTGCAAGGTCAGGGAAGAGGTACGGTAGCATGAGGCGGCTCAGTGTAGCAGTGGAAGGGGAGGAGTAGCGCGCAACTACAGCGTCGTACAAGGCCTGAGCGGTCTTGCACTGACTAAAGTGGGCACGCTCGGAGGAAGGGAGGTGGCGACGCACAGCAAGACGTGCAGCAGCATCGCGTGTGGCCCACTTGGAGCGAACAGCGGGGTCAGCATCAGCAGGAGGGGCAGGGACAGCGCCAGAGACAAAGTCAAAGAGAGAAACCTCATCGATCGCATTGCACAGTAAGTACAGCTGCAGGTCCTCAATCCAGACTGCAAAGTCAATGGCGCGACCCTCAGCGTCAAAAGCCAGGACACTGGGGGTGGCCATTGTAGCAGCTGATAGTCTCACCGGGCAGGAAGAGTCGGGTAGCACAGCGGCGCAGCAACACGGCAGAACAGCAGCTGCGCCGGCCCGGGAGCAGCAGCAGCCCCACAGGAGCAGGAGCTCGGCACCTCAGGTTGCTCGGGCGGCTCGGGCGGCTCGTGCGGCTGGGGCGGCGCGGGCGGCTCTGGCGGCTCGGGCGGCTCGGGCGGGTCTGCTGCACGGGCGGCTGGGGCGGCTCGGCTGCACGGGCGGCTCGTGCGGCTCGGGTGACGCGGGTGGCACGGGAGGCGCGGGCGTCGCGACGGGCGGCTCGCTGGCGGCTGCACGGGCGGCTCACGGGTGGCTGCACGTGCGGCTCAGGGACGGTGGCCTGGGCGGTCGCGGGCGGCTCACGCTGGGCGGCTGCACGGGCGGCTGCACGGGCGACTGCACGGGCGGTTCGTCGGGCGGCGCACAGGCAGCTCACGGGCGGCTGCACGGGCGGCGCGGCGAGCTGCTGAGGGCGACGCACGGGCGGCGCACGGGCGGTGCGACGGGCGGCTCGCGGGCGTCGGGCGCTAGGGCGCTAGGGCGACAACGGGCGGCGCTCAGGCGTCAGGGCGGGCGGCTGTCAGGCTCTAGGGCGGGCCGCGTTCGAGCGCTAGGGCGGGCAGCGCGCGGGCGCTAAGGCGGGCGGTGCTCGGGCGCTAGGGCGGGCGGTGCTCGGGCGCTAGGGCGGGCGGCGCTCGGGCGCTGGGGCGGGCGGCGCTCGGGCGCTAGGGCGGGCGGCGCTCGGGCGCTAGGGCGGGCGGCGCTCGGGCGCTAGGGCGGGCGGCGCTCGGGCGCTAGGGCGGGCGGCGCTCAAGCTCTAGGGCGGGCGGCCCGCAGGATCTAGGGCGGGCCGCGCTCGAGCGCTAGGGCGGGCAGCGCGCGGGCGCTAGGGGCCGTTAGGGCAGATCGAAAAAAAAAGGAAGTAAGAGGGCCCGGAGCGCGCTCCGGGCAGAAAAAAAAAGTTACGAGGTAGCGGTGGTGGGCCCTAAGAACAGTTCCCACAGGGGAACCTGCTCGATACCATGAGAAGAAGTGAACGAGAATGAAATGACTATGAACGAAGTGAGTACAAATAGGAAACCCTAATTGGGTTGTACCCCCTATGGGATACCCCACTATAGCCTACACAAATAAGTAAGCTATAATGTTCTGACAAGGACCCCCAGAGGGGTCTGCAAGGGAGACTGCAACTGGCCGACTAAGCGGCGTAAGAGTGGTGCGGTCTCGTAAGAAGGAGCGAGACGCACCCGAGTCCATGGTGAAGGTGTGTAAGGCCTGAGCCGACGTAGTACCTGCGAGAGCAGACTCACCAGCACCTGGGGCAGCAGACGCACTAGCACCTGGGGCAGCAGACGCACTAGCATCTAGAGCAGCGGCCTCAATGCCCGGGTCAGGCGGTACACATAGGTAAAAGGCACCCTCAACACTATCAGCAACAGCATACATGGCAGCAAGAATAGCATCAAAGTCAAGATCAAAGATAGCAACCCCGGCCTTAGTCAGATCTCCCCAGCGAGGGATCTCTGACGCCTCTGGGAACTGGCAACGCCACGCATCCGTCAGGCGACCAAAGCAGCGCTGGGTGGAGTGCGGGCCTCCGCACCACTCACCAGCGCGGTCGCCGGTACGGAGGACGTAAGCGCAGGGACCAAAACCCCCACCGCGCTGACGTGCAGTGTACCACTCACGAAGCTGCTGAGGGGACAGGGTCACACCACTCCACTGCTGCTGCTTGCGCTGACCACCACCGGCGCCACTCCTCGGCGCAGAGTCGCGACCCGCTCCACCACCGCCGCCTCCGCCGCCTCCTCCACCTCCGCCTCCTCCACTACCTCTACCGCCTCCGCGAAGAGAGTCAGGGAGCCGGGTGACTATGTAGTAGAGGGTGATGTACATGGGGGGGGGGGGGGGGGGGTTCTTGGCGCAGAACTCAGCAGGAAGCGCAGCGCGGTAGTGAGTGTCACTAGTGCAGAGGTGCGTGATGAGGTCAGCGACTGTGGGAAAGGCAGCAGGGTCAAGGAAGAGGTACAGTAGCATGAGGCGGCTCAGTGCAGCAGTGGCAGGGGAAGAGTAGCGTACAACTACAGCGTCGTACAAGGTCTGAGCACTCTTGTACTGGCTAAAGATTGCACGCTCAGTGGTCGGTAAGTGGCGGCGCACAGCAAGGCGAGCAGCAGCATCGCGCGTGGCCCACTGTGAGCGAACAGTGGCGTCACCATCAGCAGCAGGCGCAAGGGAGGCACCAGAAGTGAGGTCAAACAGGGAGAGGCCGTCTGCCCTATCGCACTACAGGAAAAGCTGCAGATCATCTACCCAGACCGCAAAGTCCACTGCCCGACCCTCAGCGTCAAAGGTGAGGACGCTAGGGGAGGCCATAACAGCAGTAGGCAGGCAGTGAGTACAGTGGGGCAGGGCAGTGCAGTGGCAGAGACTATGCTCTTACCAGGCAATTGGGGCGATCGGGCGGCTCGGCGACTCGGCGGTCGGGCGGCTCGGCTGCTCGGCGGCTTGGCGGTCGAGCGGCTCGGTTGCTCGGTGCTGGGCGGCTCGGCTGCTGGGCGGCTTGGGGGTCGGGCGGCTCGGCTGCTGGGCGGCTTGGCGGTCGGGCGGCTCAGCTGGCCGGCGGTTTGGCTGCTCGGCGGTGCGGGCGCTGGGCAGCGGGGCCGCAGGTGGCGACGGGGCCGCAGGTGGCGGCGGGGCCGCAGGTGGCGACGGGGCCGCAGGTGGCGACAGGGCCGCAGGTGGCGACGGGGCCGCAAAGGGGCCGTAGCGGGGCCGTAAAGGGGCCAGGCGGGGCCGTTGAGGGGCCTAGGCGGGGCCGCGGAGAGGCCGTAAGGGGGCAGACAGGGCCGCGGAGGGGTCTAGGCGGGGCCGCAACGGGGCCGTAAGGGGCCAGACGGGGCCACGGAGGGGCCTAGGCGGGGTCGCAAAGGGGCCGTAAGGGGCCAGATGTGGCCGTGGAGGGGCCTGACGGGGCCTAGGCGGGGCTGTGGAGGGGCCGTAAGGGCCCTAGGCGGGGCCGTAAGGGGCACGACGGGGCCGCGGAGGGGCCTAGGCGGGGCCGTGACGGGGCCGTAAGGGGCCTAGGCGAGGTCGCGACGGGGCCGTAAGGGGCCTAAGCGGGGCCGTAAGGGGCCAGACAGGGCCGTAAGGGGCCGTAAGGGCGGCTCGGGGCGCTAATCGGGTTAGGAGCGAAGCGCGCTCCGGGCAGGGAAGGAAAAAAAAATTCGTTGTGGGCTTTAGGCAGTATTCCCACTCGGGAACCTGCTCGATACCATGACGAGAAGTGAGAATGGATGAATGGACTATGAAACAGTTGGGTACAAGTACTAACCCTAATTGGGTTGTACCCCTTATAGGCTACCCCACTACAGCCTACACAAATGTATAAGCTATAATGTTCTGACAAGGCACTCTCAGCACTAGTAGACAATGCATACATGGCAGTGAGGATAGCATCATAGTCAAGAGCAAAGATATCTACCCTCTGCCTAAGCAGCTCCACCCAGTCGGGGAGCTCAGCATTGTCCCCAAGCTCTGTACGCCAAAGGTCGCCCAGACGGGCGAAGTAGTGGGACTCTGTGTGACCACGTGTCCCGCAAGGCTGACCAGTCCGGACACCTGTGCGAATGACGTACGGGCAGTGAGCAGTACTCAGTGACCCTCTACTCTGAGCGTACCACTCACGAAGCTGCTGGGGCGAAAGAGCCTTGCGTAGACGACGCGGCTGCTGCACCGGGCCACTACAAGAAACACCCAAACTACCCACTCCAGGACGACTCCCACTACTGCCACCCCGACAACCCTAACTGGCGTACCACTCACGAAGCTGCTGGGGCGCGAGGGACACACGCGGACGGCCCTGGAGCTGCATCTGGCCACGCCAGGAGCAGCAGTAGAAGCAGTAGCAGCAGCAGTAACAGTAGTAGTAGTACGGGCAGGGCAGTGCTCACCAGTGGTGGGAAGGGCAGGCGTACGAGCGGGGCGACTGCGAGGCCGCCACGCGGCCGCTCCAGGGGCGGCTGTTCCGGGGGCCAGGAGCGGCTCCTGCAGTGGCAGCTGCTCCAGGGGCGGCTGCTCCAGTGGCCAGGGGCGGCTGCTGCAGGGGCAGCTGCTCCAGGGGCGAGGGGCGGCTCCTGCAGTGGCGGCTGCTCCAGTGGCCGGCTGCTCCTGCTGCAGGGGCGGCTGCTGTAGGGGCGGCTGCTCCAGGAGCCTGGGGCGGCTGCTGCAGGGGCGGCTGCTCCAGAGGCCAAGCGCGGGTTAGGTCAGGGCGACTCAGCGGGCAGGGGCGACGCGCGGGCAGTGGCGACGCGGCGGGCAGGGCGACGCGGCGGGCAGGGGCGACGCCGTGGGCATGGCGACGCGGCGGGCAGGTGGCGACGCCGCGGGCAGAGCGACGCGGCGAGCAGGGGCGACGCCGCGGGCAGGTGACGACGCCGCGGGCAGGGCGACGTGTCGGGCAGGTGGCGACGCCGCGGGCAGGACGACGCGGCGAGCAGGTGATGACGCCGCAGGCAGGGCGACGCGGCGGGCAGGTGGCGACGCTGCGGGCAGGTGGCGACGCCGCAGACAGGTGGCGACGCCGCAGGCAGGCGACGACGCCGCGCGCAGGGGCTACGCCGCGGGCAGGTGACGACGCCGCGGGCAGTGCAACGTGGCGGGCGGCGAGAGCCTGTAGGGGCGGCGCGCGGTTGGGCAGAGGCTGCGCGCGGGCCTGACGGGTTTGCAGGGGCGGCTCGGGGGGGGGGGGGGGGGGGGCTGACGGGTCTGCAAAGGCGGCTCGGGGGCGTGACGGACCTGCAGGGGCGGCTGGAGGGCCGTACTAGCTTGCAGGAGGCAGCGTGAGGGCTACAGGATGGCACTCGGGCAGACCGAAGGGCGGGGCCCGCGAAGGCGCACGAGCAGAGAAAGGCGCACGAGGGCGCACGAGGGCGCAGAAAGGCGCATGAGCAGAGAAAGGCACACGAGGGCGCACGTAAGGTAGGGCGCACGGGGGCTCTTCTAGTTGAATAGTGGGACCGTAGTAGAAAACGGTCCCAGGTAGCAACCTAGGCTCTGATACCATGTTTGAATCTAGAATAGAACGAGAATGATGAAACTAGGAATGATGAGGATACAAGTAGGCAACCCTAGCAAAGTTGTACCCCCTTAGGCTAAACCCACTATAGCCTACACAATATAAACATATAATGTCTGACATGATTTGCCGCTATAGAATAACTGTCTTCAACCTACACTGCGGCCAAATTCTCCTGCTGACTCTCCTCGCGAACATTCATGTCTACTCGTGTGCGATCATGAATGCCCGTGTAAGATTCCTGTTTTTCAATTACAAACGGTTTTTCCCATTTTGTACCTCTGTTGAAATAATGACGCAAGGAAACGTGACTTTCTGGCGAATTTTCCTGCTCGCCAAGTCAGCGTGAAAATTCCGTTAGTCAACTCCGAGGTCTCGTATGCCCCATGTGCCCCTCATCACGACGGAGATATTTCTCGGTCGTTCAGGACAAGACGATCGCTGACGCTATCGTGCGTTGTCCTGCGCGTGACAAAGCGATCATGACGCTCCGTCCTGTATCAATCGTGCGCACTGTGCACGATTGAAATAATGGCGACAAATGCGCATGTTTTATGGTGCCACACGCGCGTGTGTCAGGATGCCACGCATGGGTCCTAACTTTCGTGTCAAGATAGCAAGCATGAATGAGTGCATTGAGTGAATTGTGGGTACAAGTACTAACCCTAATATTGGGTTGTATCCCACATGGGCTACCCCACTATAACCTACACACAACTAGCACATATGTGGTTTGACACACCCCCATAGGCAAAGTTGGGGAGAACAAGGGGTCACAAGACCAGTCAAGAAAAGCAAAGCAAGCTCAAGGTGGATCACAACGTCACCACACACTACGCGCACAAGGAAAGGGCCACAAGACCAGTTCAAATAAAGAGGTATATATGTAACAACAACAGTACTGTAATCACTACCTAGCAAGAGTAAACATGCAGGTATATATATATACAGATCACAGTACAACCAGAGACTACAGCAAGTGAGGAAACGTAGGCACCAGGGCTAGAGCAGTGCAGAAGCGCTGATTATCACCAGCCGGAAGGGCCTTGGTGAACACATCAGCCGTGTTGGCCCCGGTGGGCACGTGAGCGACGCGAAGCTGACCATGCTGCTGCAACTCTCGAGCAAGGAAGTAACGCAGAGCGATGTGCTTTGTTCTGTGCTCCAGTCTGTGGTCTTGACACAAGGCAATGGCAGCCTTGTTGTCGACGTACAGAACTGGAGTAGAACGAGGCCTCTCTCCCAGGTCGGTCAGCAGGTAGGTGAGCCAGTGTAGCTCCTGTGCAGCCATGGCTGTGGCGTAGATCTCAGCCTCAAAACTGGAGCTGAGAACAGGAGACGAGCGTGTAGACTGCCAAGAAACAGAGCCAGAGCCAAGGCTGAAGGTGTAACCCTGCGACGACCGCTGCGTAGCCAGGTCGTCAACCCAAGAAGCGTTTGAGTGCCCAGTGAGGACAACTGAGCTCCGCCCTCCAAGCAGGAGCCCCATGCCCGATGTATTGCATAAGTAGCGCAGTACCCTCTTCGCAGCATCCATGTGCACCTTTCGGTGCCTACCAGGAGACACATACCATGCTAGAAGGCCAAGAAGGCACGCGAGGTCAGGACGAGTGGAGGTCATCAAGTACATGAGGCAGCCCACTAGCTCTGGGTACGGGCCACTCGGCTCTACGCACTCGTCTGAAGGTGGAGCTGAGAGCAAGTGACCGGTAGCTAGAGGAGTGGACTGTGGCGAGGACTAAGTGAAGCCGAAGCGCTGAAGAACCTGCTGCACCATGTGTGACTGAGTCAGTGTGATGATGCGTTGTGCTCTGTCCCGGGTGCTGCAGGCCAAGGTAGCTGCGCAGCTCACCCAGGTCTGTGCACGTGTGTCTCTCCTTCAGCTCCGACTTCACATGGGCGAGAGCCTCAGTGTCAGCAGTGGCAAAGACCAAGTCGTCGACGTACATGAGGATGTAGAACGGCGGCAACGAAGTGTCGGTGCGCAGAAACAGCGACGGGTCAGCAGTCGAACGAGCAAACCCAAGAGCCGCAAGTGTCATCCTCAGTGTGTCGTGCCACTCGCAAGGCACCTGACAGAGACCGTAGAATGGCCGACGGAGGCTCCACTGGGTACCAGGAGGGAACGACCCAGTGAAGCCAGGTGGGCGGCGCAGCTAGATCTCCTCGTGCAGACTGCCCTGTAAGAACACTGTACTGAAGTCCCGGGAGTGAAGCTCGTAGTCACGTTGAGCGGCAACGTGCAGCAGAACCCAAAGAGTGGTCATCTTCAGGGTAGGGGAGAAGGTCTGGAAAAAAT